TTCTGATAGGGATGTTAGGAGTATTTATAGTAGGAAAATGTTAGTAAAAAGAGATAGAATACTCAAGATAGACAAAGACTGGCAATAGGGGTTGAAGACACGAGCTTACAGAAATACGAAGAATTGAAGAGGTTGAACAGTATAGAATTTTAGGTAAGGTAATTAAGGGAAAATCCAGCTATTAGTACAAGGTGCATGCAGAAACGGTTGCAGTTAGATTTCTAGGTAAAGGTGATTAGGGACAATAGAATAGAAATAGAATGGAAACAAAGGCATGCAAAAGATAAGAAGTCGTACTCTACATTGAAGAAATACTATGCATTATGACAGAAATAAAATTAGTACAAAATATTTACACAAAAAAAACACTAAAAGTTCTTTCGCCACATACCCAATACTCCACTTACTCTACTTGAAGATGACACACATAAATACTTCAATACGATTAAGCTAGATTTTGCAGATTTAGACCCAATAGATGATATAAACTTGTATGTAAGCAAAAACTATGATAATCTAGAGTACTACCCGGTTAAGAGTAATTTTATCGAAAAATTGTCAACAATAATGACATCTTACTCAACAGTACATACAGACACTTTTATTTTAAACCACAAGGATACTACACGATTATTAAAAACTGCTAGTTTCGTAAAACACTTGTATAAAATACCCAATAATCCTAAAATTTTGATCAAAGCGTTTAACTCCCTTAACCAGGACCAAATCAATGACTTCATAAAAACATATTACAGCACCCCAGTATCATCCGGACACAAGGGCATAAACAAAACGTTAAATAAAATTCAACAAAAGTACAAGTGGAAAAGCATGAACGAATATGTCAAAAACTTCATTAACTCTTGTGAAATTTGTCAGAGATCGAAGATTGTCCGACGAAGTTTCGAAAGTCCTTTTACGTTAGTATCGGTACCGTCTAGAGAGAATTGATATTGATATTGGTAAAAGGCATCGATCGTAGCGACACGTAGTGACAATAATTCGAACCAATCCTATCGGGTTAGCTGTTACACAGCGAGTAGAAAGAGATACATACGTAATTCTTTTTATTTTTATTATAATAGAAGAAAATAAATAAAATTATTTTAAAGTATGGAAAATCAATCTGAAACAAATGGAGCAAGATTTTCTCCAAAAAAACTACGAGTAAAATGTTTTGTTGTGTCTATGGTTGCAAAAGTAAAGCGTTTAACAATCCGGGCGTTCGTTTCCACTATTTTCCAAAACCAAATAGTTACTATGTAAAAATACAAAATTATTTCGGTAATTCGGTAAAGTCGATTGCCATAAAAAATGGCAAGAAGTTTTAAAAATTGGGGAAACAGTAATTCAGCACATGCAAGTTTGTTAGTTACATTTTAAAAGAAGTGACTATGTTCCACCTGGTAAATATTCATTTTTTTGCATAATTACTTTAAGCTATAACTAATTATTTAAAATTAATTCAAATATTAATTACGTTAATCAATATTTTGAATTTTGTGGACAATGAGACATGTTGACTCTATTTTTAAAGGTTTCAAATTCTTGAAGAAAGATGCCATACCTTCCTGTAATTTGCCTTCATGTAATATAAAAGAGCCTTCAGATGACCAGAAACGAATTAATAGAAGTATGATTAAGATTAAGATTAAGATTAAATAGAGAAAAAAATCGTACTGAAGCTAATATAAACCAACAAAATGGAAATTGTGGTAACCTAAACGATGAAGAAAATATTTTAACAAGTTCTGACCTTCCAATGGCAGAAAATAATGATATAAACTCTCTCAGCGTAACTCATATCGATTATTTATATTATTTAATATGCCACAATATATTAAATGACCAGCATTCACAACTTTCTCTCCTTCAACGAAATTACGGCTTTTTATTGATGAGTTCAAGAACTCCAAAATTTCACTCAAAGATAAAAACATTGCTTCAAAATTAACTTGTAACACATGTTTTCGTATGGAAACGTGGCGTATTTGACCCGATAGGATTGATTCGAATTATTGTCACGGCGTGTCGCTACGATCGATGCCTTTTACCAATAG